TCTCATGGAAGCGCTTCTTCTCTTTGTCCACCATTGTCTAAAAAAAAAAAAGAAAAAGTGGTTGAATTAAAGTAAACATACTTACATATGTATTGTACATACATATATATATACATTTATAAGTACAGATATTTTAAAGAGCTATTACATTGTTCTACATGATAAATAAAGGCTGCAAACCATACTGGACAGTAGAGAAATCTTATGGAATATGTAGAGAACGCATTTTCGAAAAAGCGACACGATTTGGTGTTATAAAGCCATCATGTATATCCTGTGAAAGTATGTTAGAACTTGTTAGTAGTGGCATTTCATATTAATTTTGCCTCATATATTTAGTACACTCTTCCACATAAATCACTTCTGGTACGCAGCCAACCACGCAATCACCAGTATTCCATCACTCAAGTTTTAATTTGCTTGGCAAACTTTAAACCTGCCTACCCCCATTCCATCTAACCGCTTATTTACTCTTATCGCCTGAGCCATCGAATGCCCGGTTGGCGAACTTAAACCCTACATACATACAGCTTTGGCAATCAGTGCACGTTTCCCGTAAACTTTGGAAAGAAAACATTATCAACAGTAAAAAGGATAAATTGCCTCTTTCTGTTCGTTTCAATTTATTCTTCTTGTCCTATAGCACGTAGGGATGGTATTACTAATGGTCAGTCGGGCGACGCACTAAGGCTACAATAATTAATTGTGTGGATACTTGTGAAGGTGACTTACATACATACCTGTATGTCTTCTGACCAAATACATTTAATTTAGCTCATAACATAAAAATGTTCACAAATATTGGTTACTCCATCTCTTGCCAATTAATTTTTATTAAGTCGGTTACTATATTCTATTTATCAAAAATTTCTTATGCTCTTAACTAGCATGAAAATCTCGCTTTAAATTTAGATTTTGCTGTAAAAGTGCTTTTCGATTATTTTAAAGCTAAAAACCCCTGGCTTCATATTACAATATTTGCCATTAAATTTCCTCTTACATACCGACGTCAATAACAATAAAACACCTAACGAACACACGAACGAACCAGCAAGCGCAGCCAAAAACCCAACCCTCTAGTTCCAATGCCATCATACAGCCAAGTCCCAGCTGACAGCACTCAACGGCGACCCCTGAAAGTATGTGCACAAATGCATTTGTGTTTATATACTTTGTTATACATATGTACTACATACTAGGGTTGTTAATATTTCAGCTTTTTNTACCATAAAATAAAAAATAAATAAATGGGTTTGAAACCTACTTTTTATTTAAAGTGGCGTTTTTCTTTTTTTCTTTCTGACGTCAGGATTTATTTTAAAGGACTTTGTAATTTGAAATATATGATTAATTCCAAAAATTATATAAAAAATTCAATGGAATGTAGAATAAAAATATGTGTACCAAATGCAAGAGGAAATTTCTTTAGATTTAAAAAAAAAAATTCAAATTTTTTGGATTCACAAGGACCATCAAGTAATTTTTTAAGCTGATTAAGTTAAAAGGAGGAAATACGACGATTTTATCGAGTTTATATCAGTCCTTAACACATAATTTAAAAAAAAAAATACTGGGAAATTTCAAGGATAAAATTTTAATAGGACATTTTTCTCTGAATTTTTTAAATCATTTTTGAATTACTGACGTCAGAGTGAAAAACTAAAAACGCAATTTTACTGTATTTGGCCCATGGTTTTGCGAATATATTGATATTTTTGTTTAAAATTTACTATCGCGCGGTGCTTTATGTATACTGAGCTAGACATTTATAAAAAAATATTAATTACACAGGTCTGCAAAAAAATTGGTTCGGAATGTTCTATAAAAGTGTAGTGTCATTTCCGAAGTAATTTTTTGCGTAGAATCCGAATCCGGGGTTTAAATTGCTCTATCACGTCAGGACTTTGAGATATCCTAACCTAAAAGTGCAAAAAACGCTGTTTTGCCCATATTTGAGGTTATGTAGCTACGAAGATTTTGCTCTTCATAAAAAAGTAGACGTGGTATTTTAAAAAGTCTTCCTCTTTTAAATGCCGTTGAGTTTGCTCAAATATCTTTTTGTAATCGACCGTATCACGTCTCATGTTATCTCAATGGATTATCGAATATCGAAAAATTCACAAACATGGAAACTTCAAAATGCGATATCTCAGTGAAAAATAAAGATATTTAAGCAAACTCAACGGCATTTAAAAGAGGAAGACTTATACTTTAAAATACCACGTCTACTTTTTTATGAAGAGCAAAATCTTCGTAGCTACATAACCTCAAATATGGGCAAAAACAGCGTTTTGCACTTTTAGGTTAGGATATCTCAAAATCCTGACGTGATAGAGCAATTTAAACCCCGGATTCGGATTCTACGCAAAAAATTACTTCGAAAATGACCCTACACTTTCCTAGAACAAAACGTTGTTGACCTGTGTTATTAAATAAAAAAATAAATATAACCAAAACTGGTCAAGAAAACGAGTTTCTATTCCCGAAAATCCCGAGATTTTTGGGACCCTAAAAAGGCCGGGATCCTGGGATTAACATTCCTAGTACATACGTTCGTCTTTGTAAATACACATATACATATGTATGTGTGTATGTATTAAACATTCTACTCCACTATATCCCAGCCGCCCACCCACTTTTCACCTTAGACGTTCTGAAGTTGAGCGAACTGTGAAGCAAAGTGCTGAAGTGAAATAAAAGCTGACACGCCGACCAATAATCTACAAACTTACATACAACAAGAATTCTTTTGTATAAATATGTAATATGTTTTCGCAAAATTAACCTCTAGTTACATGAATAGCCTCTTTTATTATTAAATGGATTCTTTTTTAAGCCTGTATTGTTTTATACTGTTGACCTAATATTTTAGCAAGCCATACGCGAATAATTGCTTCAAATTTAATAGGTAACGACCGGATTCACTCTAATCGACTCCACTGAAACTATAGAAATAGATTCAAAATGCAGAATCACTGGTTGATTTTTGGTCCCAAGCTAGGGTGAGGACTGCGCATCCTTAAATCACTGACGCTCAAACGAACAGCAGTTATTGATGTAAAATCACCTGGAGTTTTACGTTGCCTATGAATGGAAAATGGTCTTTACTTGAAACTTTTTTATGACAAAAATACACTTGGTGATTTGTCTTTGTCTCTGGAGGATCGATTTCGAATTTCTATAATTTGTAAGTTGCGTGGAAAATGTTTAAATTGTTGAAAAATCCCAAGCTGCAAGTGAAGAAGAGGGTCAGAAGTCAGAAGTGGAGGTTCATACGCTATTCTTCGAAAACATATAATTCCAATAACTATAACCAAATCATTTGGTTAGAGAAAAATATTAAGTTGAGGTACCTAAACTCTTTTCTCAAAGTCAAACCAACATTTCCAGCCTTGCAAATGGTTATTAACTTGTCTCACTTTTTCACATTTGGTGTTAAGAATCAAAGGCGGGCGCGCACACTTCTTTTTTCACATGAAAGTCCAAAAGATTGGAAAAATGTTTGAAAAAGAAGATAAAAACGTGATTGATATTCTTTGGTGGGGAATGCTGAGTAATTCTGCAATATTTAAGCCCGTCCCGCAAAGATGACCCAGAGGTACTTGGATATGGTCGGAATAGAAAGCTAGCATTTATTACAGCAGCATCAATAAAGCACATACATACGTACATAGAGTGACTCACAGAAGTATTTCGCATTGATTTTTTACGATATTCAAAATGTTTTTCACGGGAAACTTTTTCGTTCGTTTTTATAAAAATATGGCTAATTTTACAACATAAACCATGTATGTAAATCAAAATTTTAAACTTTGCAGAAAATTAAGGAAAATTCATGAAATTTTCATCAAAATTTCAAACTTTTTAATCAGATTTTTTTTTTTGATTCGAGTAGGCAGTTTCATAGCCCATTCATTTTTAGTACAATAAAGTGGCTAGTTTCAAGTTGCTAATTATTGAAATATGCCCTTTCTCAGAATTTGGTTGAAGAACGCCCTATCTCAGAATTCGGTTAACAGAGCCTATTTGAAGATTCTTAAATTCGTGAGATATACGTGATTAAGTGGAACCACTTTTTGTTTTAAGTTGAATAACGGTAAATTGCAAATATCTCGAAAACGTATCCATAGAAAAAAATTAATTCGACTTTCGGAATCACCGAGCAATTCTACATAGAAATTTGATAGTGGCGTTTGGAGAACAAAAACCAAACTAAAATTTGTGATCCTATTTTGGTAGTATATTGTATTTCTATTTGTTGTACTTGTTACACTTTGTTATATTTTTATGTTTTTATTGTAGAATGACCATATTGTTATACAAAATTAGCAAAAAAAATTAGAACAAAAATTGTTGCATATATTGTGTAAAATTCAGTGTATATGTGTACATATCTGCATACCAAACATCTTTTTAGAAATAGAAGAAACGTTGTACGATTTTTTTTTTATTTTTTTACACAGTTTGAATTGTTGCATATATTGTGAAAAGTTCAGTGTATATGTGACATATCTGCATACCAAAATTTTTTTTAGAAACAGAAACGTTGTACAATTATTATTTTTTTAAATTCTTTACACGATTTGAATTGGACTTACATCTATGACGTTTTTTAGAGTGAACAATATTTTAATGAAAAAATTAAAATTAAAATTAAATAATAAAAAAAAATAAACAGCCAAAACTTGTTAATATGTTGGCTGCTATTATTTTGACATGCGCTGTATTAAAAAATGGACTGAACTTCTGGTGAAATAAACAAATTGAACCAAAGAGCATTCTCTAATTGTAACTGCGAGTTTAAAAAAGGCTACATTTCATTCATATTTGCTATATTTTTGGCTCAAAGGAAATCTGTGGCAACACTGTCAATAATAAGATTTGGTTATGTTGCCAGACTTTTTTTTTAAACAACTATCATTTCCGGAAAAGGCCGTATTTTCAAATAAAAAACTGTAAACTTCAAAAAACGGAGTTTTTTTTTAGTTTCATTAAAAAAAAATGTATTAGTTTTTTTAATGAAGTTCTCTCCCTCAT